CCCCCCGGTTACCTCTCTCACTTCCCTGATCAACTGTTTTTACCTAACAAAAAACCATCTAACGTGGATTCATCTCCCAAGATATCAAATCACTATCTATCAATTCTAACAGATTCAAGTCTTCTATTATGAGAAAACGCATGTATGCAGCAGGAGCATGGAAAGAATAGCAACTAATGATTCTCAACTTCACGCCACTGTCAAAATGATTCAGTTCAAATGACCCTAAATGATCTAAATCTTTCTTTCGTTTGCTTATAGTCACTTTGAAACAAAAAGTAGAATGATATAGAAATTTCAATCATATCAGCAGAAGCAGAACAGCAGCCACACCCTAATACATGGAGGGGTAAAGTTGGCCAAAGGACCGACACTAGGAGCTAGCACATCTCTTTATGCTAGCAATGAGCTCAAGCACAACTCCCTATCAATATCCACATACCAGAATTTTAAGGGCTACGTACAGCAAACTGCATAAAGTAATTTTATCATAGCTATATGCCATAGTATATTTGCCAACAACTTCTTGTCCTCAGTAAGAATGATTACGTAGCTCATGAAAGGACAACTCAAGAGCAGTCAGATGCACTTTTCTGGAGTTGGGCAGACACTCGTGGAAAATGTCAGATGCTACTTGGACATAAAACAATAAAGGATTAAAAGTATATAATGGCAACATTTGTGTAACCACAATTAACAGAGAGACAATTGCATACAGTAACGTAGGGGGAATGGTTCTAACCAGTGGAGCCTTGATGGTATAAACCTGGGCCTTCAATGAACAAGAAGCGACGAAGTACATCATCACGATCAACACCAGACACTCTCATGTAAGGTTCAGCAGCCTTTGACTGCAAGCAACAGAACTTGATTTTCCTATCTCTGTCAGCTTTAATCACCCATTTCACACCTACATATAAAATGCCACGAAAATCATACTAACTGAGATAGCTTATTATGCATGCACCCGTCCGTTCAAATGTTTATGCCAAAGGCAGTTTAGACCTAAAGGATAGCCATTTTTGCATATCCAATGAGATAATCAATCAACTACGCCACAATCCTAAATTAGTTGAGACAGCGAGACATTACTGAAAAGTTCACTTATAAACTAGCTTTCTATTTGCTAATATGTACAAGTAAGCTTTGCCAGGAGCAACTCGTCCCCAAATGCTTGCAAACATATGCCTCTAGGAAAGTAAGCAAGCTACTTTCACTTGCATTCTCGAAATGATAGCTTCCAGCACCTTCCTGCCTACTTAAATTTATGTGAAAAATCGTGAAAACTCTTCAAATCCTATTTAGTTTGATTAGACAGGTCACAAGCATGGTGGTTCCGTCTATGTTTTCTTTTTTCTTTTAATAACGAAATAAAGCAGTCATTAATGCCTGATGAGCCTCAGTCAGTGGAATACAGCTCAACATTAAAATTCTCACAGCTCAAATAATGCATGCTACTGACAGCACAAGATACTTGGCATTCTGATTTCACTGCTAACATCATAGTCATAACGACAACAAAGAAATGCAGAAAAATGACAGTAACACTAAACATAAAGCTAACACTATGTTTTGCTCAAAATGAAGGAAGTCACCTACTATTTTCCTTGACTACCCTGCATTACAACTCGTACATACATCACATAGGATACACCCTGTCACAAAATAGAACATAGAATCCACAAAACAACAACTTGAGCTTGTAATTGCGCCCCGGATGTTTTTTCCTCTCGATTGATTGAATGTCAACCATTTCAAGTAAACAAACAGCATTCCCTCTTTTAAGCAAATACAAATGTCAAGTCATCAAACTAAAAATAGTTCACAAGTGACACATACAGCTAGACGCTAAATATATACATGTAAAATTGAAATTTTCGTTTTCAAAACTACAGGATGACTGCAAATGTAACTAAAAACACAAAAACAGTAGCAATAAACGCAATACTGTACTCATTTACAGCTTCCGCGAACAATTGAAGAAATCAAAGCAATAAGCAAAGCACAAATGCAATATATAGCTACAAGCACCAATCACACACACACACACACACTCTAGCCTGTACTCATTTACAGCTTTGAGGCACAACTGTAGTAAGAAACCAAAGCAATAAGCAAAAGCACAAATGCAATAAATAGCTAAAAGCACAAATACACATACAGAGAGAGAGAGAGAGAGAGTAGGAAGATGAGAATATTACTGTTGTGAGAAAGATGACAAACGCCGTCATAGACAACGACGCCAGGCTGAAGTAGATTCTGATCAGTCTTCGGTTTGGAAGCTAAGCGAGCTAATTCATCGCCGAGGAACAAATCATCTTCGTCAAAGTCAGCAGCAGCAGCAGCTGAGGCGGAATCCGAAGAAACACCAGCAGCATTCAAAGGAGAAGAAGAAGTTGAAAACGACGACGTCCAGAGAGAAGAAAAACACCGGCGGTGAGTCAACGGCGAGGAGGAATTCACATTTCCGGTCGTCGTTAGCAACCGTAAACCTCTCTTCAGCATCAACAGCTTCATCATCACGCTTCCTGTGTGTTTCGTGTGGATGAAGTTTCAGTTTTCGTGAGCTCCAAGTCGGTGCTTTCTCTATTAGTACTATATATACAGGAAATGGAAAGGAAAGAGTGCGGGACGGTGTGTTTGCATACGTGGCAAACATCGAGGGTCCTTCAAAGAACTTATCCAACGGTGGATATTTAGTTCTATCTATAGCTGTACAATTCCTAATTCCTAGAGATTTGGGAAGCATTATTGCATTGCATCCTTTCTAACTTCTAAATACTCTTTTTAGCGGTAATATTTAAATTTCTTTTTTTAATTCACTCAAATATTTATTATAAAAACATACCAGCAATGCGTTTCTTGTTGTAAAATATTGTAGAAATGAAGTGAGATAGTCATTTTTTTAATATGATATTTAATTTTTATCCAGTATTTTTAATGTTGAGCAAAAATAGCAACTATTCTATTAAAATTAATACGAAAAGATATTTTTACCCTTTCTTTATGAGTGTTGTGTAAATATTAAGGGCATGGTATCTTTAACATTTACACTGCACATATGAAGTTAAGGACATGATGTCCTAAAGTTTAACAGCGGAAAATGCAAATACATGACACTTTGTCCATAATGTTTACACATCATTCATGTAGTTAAGGACACCATGTCCTTGATATTTACACAACACTCATAAAGTTAAAGACATTAGTTCCTAAAGTTTAACAACAGAAGGTGCAAATACAAGTTAAGGATATTATGTCCTTAACATTTACACTGTACACATGAAGTTAAGAACGACATGCCTTTAACATTTACATTGCACATATGAAGTTAAGGACATGATGTCCTAAAATTTAACAACGGTAGGTGCAAATACACAACACTTTGTTTTTAATATTTACACAATATTCATGAAGTTAAGGACATCATCTCCTTAATATTTACACAATACCCATGTCTAGCACATAGGTATTTTCGTTTGGGTGGGTAAAAAATTATTAAGCACTGGCTAAAGAGTAAATGCATTTTAAATAGTGGCTAAAGAGTAAAAACATCTCTAATTAGTGGCTAACTGTCTACTTCCCCTAAAATATTTGAGTGTAAAAAAGAGATAGATATATATTTCAAAACTTATATTCTTAATAAAAAGTCGTTTAAATTTTGAATGTGCTCAGCATTGAGCGCGAGTCAATATAGGAAGGAATCTTACATAAATGTCCCTAATTATTGAGTAAATTTTTTTGAATATGATTAAACAAATTGAGTGTCATGAAAAAAATTAAATATATGGATATATTATAAAAATAATAAATAAAATAATTTAAAGTATTTTAATTATAAGTAAAATATATTATATAGTATATAATTTAGAAGGTATTACATAAATGAGAGGATTAATATCAAGGACATAATAGACTTTTCAAGTAAATGAACATATTTTAAATATAAAAATGATAAAAAAAATTATTTTTTAATATTTATTTAAAATAATAAAAACATATTTGTTTAACAAATGATATTTTTTATAGTCAATAAAATTTTTTAAAAAAAGTTTCAAAGATATTTGTGTTTAATATTAAGTTTTTTAAAAGTTTTAGCAGTTAATATTATTTATTTGAAAGTATTAATCTGAGTATGGCTTGGCTGATAAATCAATGAGCTTTGATTTTTTAATTTTCATTAATCATGATTAAGAACGTGGACTTGAGATTTGTTCACGGTAATGTTACTGACAAATTTAATAATGCTACTTATATATCTTGAAAATTAATATTAAGAAAAAATTAAATGTACAAATATATTACATAAATGAGAGGATTTATAATGTCAAGGGCATAATAGACTTTTCAGGTGAAATATTTGTAAAATCTGTTCAAAGTGATTATTGTGATAACTAGAGCATAGTAAAATGATGTTTGTGTAACAAAAGAAACAAAAATGACTTTTGGGTAATGAACACAAAGTTGAATGACTTTTACGTAACAAAAAGAAGAAAATTGACTTTTGCGTAACGAATACAAAGTTGCCAATGTGACTTTTGTTATAAATAAAGCAAAGTAAAATAAGTTTTGTGTAACAAAAGAAAGAAAAATGACTTTTGGGTAATGAACACAAAGTTGAATGATTTTTACGTAACAAAAAGAAGAAAAAGTGATTTTTGCATAATGAACAAAGTTGAATGATCACCATAAAATTTACTCCAAATAAGTCTCAATTTACCAATCTCTAGCCATTAATCATAGACTTACCAAAACTAGCGAAGCACATATAAAAATTGAAAATCCAAATAAATAAAGTTCTTCTCCCCAAGAATTACACGCAAAGATCTCCTTCCATATTTTTAAGCGTGTTTAGCAACGTTATATGCAAGACGGAAAGGAAATTTCATGGATGATGTAGCAAATAAGGTGATGAAGTACAAAATATATATATATATGCAAGATTCCAAGAATTTAAGCAAAAAGGGACTTTTTCAATGGGTATGGTTGAAATTCATTGAAAACATATAGATGAGTCAATATACAACATTTGAGGGCGATTGAAGGTGATTTGGACTGATTTTGTATCAAAATTCGTTGTTAAAATCGAGTTCAAAAAATTCTTCTGCGACATATGTATCAAACATGTATCATGCTTGTATCTCACACACATGTATACATGAATATACATGTGATATACATTTGATACAAATATGATACATATCAAATAATACACAGTGTGATACATATAATTTTTTTCATGTTCATTTTCTACGAATTTTTAATTCAAACTACCTCAAAACTTCACCAAATCATCCCAAAACTACGATTCAAGCTCCTTAAGATGTACCCAATCTATTCTAATAACACTCACTTAAAAGAAAGTACAAATTTGACATTTTTTTTAGCTACAAATAGCTTATTGGTCTAATATTGGTAATATTTATGGATTGACCAACTTTTATAATAAGCATATCTTACAACTAGGATCCGTGTTTCTTCTGATCCCTCTACAAGTCAACTCCAAGCAGCCTTCTCACCAGTTACGGGGTTTAATGGCCTGAAATTGACAAAAACGAACGTTTCACAGTTTAATGAATCCTCTACTTATTTGATGGGCTGGTTAAGACATTAATTATAGTTTAAACTTTTCACAATATGAACAGATATAACCTTACAAATGACAGAGATGATTGCATCAATAATTTCCACGAGTCTTTCTTTGAGTATCTGGGGAACATTAAGTGACCCATTGCTAAGAATTCAAAGTCAATAACTAGTCGTAGTAACATTTGTTGTTGGTGCCATTTATGAGCCCAAATCCAATAAAATTTACATAATAACCTAATTGCAATAAGATTAACCTAACGTGGACATTAAATCACCCTCAAGAAATCAAGATTCTGCAAAGCACTGGGACCTAGTGGTTAGCGCGTAAAAATCCTTGTCTGCACCATTAATACAGTTCTGCCCATGTACTTTTGTGCCTGTCATTTCTCTATCTCCTCCTGAATTTGACCCTCTGCATTAACAGATGTAGTAGTTAAGATAAAACATTGATGACCACTCAAAATGACCAAACTCCAAGTCCGAAAGAAGGTTTAACTCTCACCAGCAAGCTCGACAGCCAAGTTTGCCTGCTGATCCGCATCGGAGTTTGATTCCTATTAGGAGTAAGAAGCATATCAAATCTCCAGAAAATCAGCAAGGAGAAGATATATGTAATAATTCCATGTGAACAGAAATTAAAGATTATCCTACCCATTATGAGAAATGTATGTAGTTCTTGTGCTATTATAGAAAATGCTTGTGACAGATAAAGTGAGACAACGTCTTTTTGATGAGTTAAATTGTGCAGAAGAAAGAAGAGAAGAATTTTTAATGAATTACCCGAAGAACATGAATGATGCGGAAAGAAAGGAACCTATCCTTCAGTTGTTTTGCCTGCTCAAACACCGTGGCAATGTTTTGATTTTTCACCTTCCACAGACCTTGGATCTGTTTGGAAAGTACACTAGTATAATATCAAAGGGATCAAAATGGACGAGAACATGAAACCTAAAATAAACTAACAGACGACAGCTAATAAGCAGGAATCTTATAAAAGAGAAATTTTCTCATTTTAAAATTTCTGGTGTCTATCTTTTCTCTACTCTCTCAAACTTTTTCCAGTAGCAGGAATCTACTTCTGGATTTTTCCTATTATGCCAACTTATTTCAGCCCATCCTCCATTAGTATTGTTCGCTAAAGCATAAAACCATTACTAATCTCTTACTAAGATTCCCCATTTCTTCACAATAATATATTGGCATGCACTTAAACTGAACTAGAGTTGACAGTGGTAGCTGATCTACCCGTAAAATACCTTCTTTTGGGGAATAAGTACTGTTTTACCCATAATCAACATTATCAAACTTTTCTTTTTTCTTCTCTAACCTAGCGGTTCAGTTAGTTTGAAAGGAAATTATGACTACAATAGACCGGAGGTTAGAAGAAGAACCTTATCCCATACAGATGAAGAATATATGGCAGAAGAGATTCGAGGAAATGGCACTATGGCATGAAATTAGTGAATAACTTCAAGAAGTAATGAACAAACGGTCAGAAAAATTGTTAGATACTAGTTCACAACCAACTTCCTGGACCTTTTAAAGAAGCAAAATACTCTCTTGATCCAGCTAAAAGAGTAAAGAACATAGTTAAGTTACTGAGAGTACAACAGAATGTGACAAGTTTTGATACTGCAGTGAATCACAAAGGAAGAATCTCAAGCAAGGGAAAGGAAAAATACACGATACATGATAATAGAAAACAAACCTGCATACAAACAAGCTTGGAGTCGCCCTGAGCACGAATATTTGTAAACCCTTTACTAAGTGCATATTTCAGACCCAAAATAAAGGCCCTGTATTCAGCATGATTGCTGGTTGCCACTCCTAGACCTTCACGTAGCCTGCAGGTCTATTAGAAGAAAGGTTGTAAATACAACTAGGAGAAAAGCAAAAGTACAGTTCCTAAGTTAGTACAGTAATTATTACCAAACTTCCATCATCAGCCCGTATAACAGCTCCTGCACCAGCTTGTCCAGGATTTCCTTTTGAAGCACCATCAAATTCAAGAGTACAAGAACGCTGCTGAGGATAACAAATATCAGATTCTTTATACCAAAACAACACAAACCATAATAAACTTCAGCCTTGGTAGTTGGCCAGAAAGAATTCAGTTTTCACCAATAATTTGTGAAAAATAGGATTTTCCTCTGGGCAACCTCCCATTAAGTATTAACGTCATTTTGCATTGTCAGTTACATATATAGAAATATTTTAGTTTAAAGATTAGACATCATCTTAATAGCTACTCACACCAGATGGTAGAGCTAGAACTTGGTCACCCTTATGATGTTCTATCTTGACATGCTTTCTTATGGAATCATTTGGAATAACTGCTGATCCAACAGCATCCTGCACATGAAGATGCCAATAAACAACATAGTTTCCATAACAGTGCGGAACCAAACACATTTTTACCGGGCAGAATATGTAAGTGATCAGCGTTACAACTATTTTAAGCCAATATGCATCCCATCTTTGCAAAAGACAGGTAAAATACTGCGAAGAATACAATCCACTGGTTGCAACTTTATGTGCTCCATGTACAGTAGGATATTGCAATTTATCCAATTATATAGTAATAAAAACCGTCAAGATGTGCTATTTCCAATAGGCAGTAACATTTTCTCTACAATACTTAATGCAGACATTAGTAAGTCTTTCCCTTTATCACTTCCAACTACTCCCTTTCAACTTCAACTTCAAATACTCTTATCTTCAGCTTCAACAAACATTGTCAAACTGCCTACAACGGCTCTAAGCGAGCACATAACAATAATTAGCTAATTACACTGACAGCGGCTCCAATAAGAAAAAAGTACAACGATCCGCCATCTAGTCATATAGCTACCTACACTGCATCCCAAAAAATTAAGGGATTATTACAGCTCTTGAGTTCTTCCTAAATAACCTTGAAATCAAAATATCAAAATTTTCATAAATTTTTTTGTAGAGGAAAGATCCAAGTCCAAAGGAATAAAGGAAAGAGCAAGTGACATCAACCATTTTGCTCTATCAAGGCACAAACATGGTAAAGTATTATCTCAGGCCATCAAACATATCAGTTTGATCTGATTCTCGATTTAGTGTGTAGGTGAATGCAATGGTGACAAACAAGAGGAGACACAAATGAAGTAAATTGATTTTATGTGACAACGAAACTTCTTATGAGGAAAGAAACTAATATGTTGTCTTTATCACCCTTTTACAGAGATACTTCTTGTAAGATATGTGCAGTTTTATCAAAGGCAAAAAGCGCAAAAAAGCTCTAACTGTCTGTTGAGGCTTTAAGCGCAAAGCACAAATAAAGCGTGGGCTTTAATAAAAAAAGGCGCAAATGGAGAAAAACTACAAATATGTATGTGTAGTCCAAGACTAATATCTATAAGCATGAATACCAAATATATGGACAAAGAAATTAAAGAAAATTACGACAAAGTGAAATATCAATTGTTTCGTGTAGCCTCTTCAGGATCACGCTCATTGGCAAGGAAAAGTATGTCTTAGAGCCTTGATGACAATACTGAAGTGCCCGCTAAGCGAGGCGAAGCGCTCAACATGTTTTGAGCCTCGCTTTAGAGCTTAAGTGCGCTTTAAGCGCGCCTTTGATAACACTAGATGCGTGTACAAGTAACCACCGGTTTTCTTGCTTTGCTTCTGAAGCTTCTCATCATGAGAACCTTTCTTTACATATCTGGTAAAGGCACCATTTAACCGAATTAGTACTTTCAGATCTATACCTACACCACCAGGTACGCTATGGGAATAGGCTCTCAGAACTATGATATCCCTAGTACTACAATGTTTGAGACTTACCACCTAATGGCGTGACCATTGTGTCACTTAAAAACTGGGCTACCTAGATATAATAGAAAGATCCCTAGAATTTTCCCATGACGAATGAGAATAAAATTTAACTTGGAAAGCAGACCAACTCATGAGAAAAATGCCTTCTAATTGCATAATTGACAATGTTCTCCTGTAAGCTGTGAAACCATTAGTTATGCATACAACAACAACAATAACAACAACATACCCAGTATAATCCCACAAGTGGGACCTTACCCCTACCAGGCGAGGTCCATTAGTTATGGCATCTCAAGGAAAATTCTAGAAAGAAATATATAAACTTGAAGAGCATGCAAGCATATAAAAGCAAGTACATTGAGTTCCTTAGGAACCAAACAATATTTTGAAAATGATTGCAAAAATAATTAAACTTGGATTGTAGACTAAAGTGAAAACAACTTCATAAGCAATTGCCACAAACCCTTTTAGACTTTTCCACAGCAAAACTATATACAGCCCTAACTTACTGCATATTCTGACCACATTGCTTCCTGTGATCTCTTCTTTGGCAAATGATCAGATGTTCCACTTTTTGAAGAAGAAGGTTGCTGCAAAAGATGAAATGCTAATAAATATGTATGACCAGTTCTAAAAGAAAAAGAGGGAAAAAGAAACATGTATTATTTTCTGGGCACAGCAACTTTACGATAACTATCTGCGCATACAACTAACTAGCAATTTCATCTAAGCAAAGAGTGTAGGGAGAGTGATATCAAAGATGGACACTCAGAGAGAGAGATAAACAGAGAGAAGAATCAGAGAGTACCACACAGAGATTAGAGAAGCAAGAATTGTATTAGGTCGATCTTTACTTAACTATAATGTGGACATGAACATAGGCAGTAGGAAAATTAAATAGGCTGAGTACAAAACTCGCACTCAAGGATACTACTTGATATACAACATAGAAGAAACAGAAAGAAGTATGTATACCATGTATGAGAATTTCAAAGAAGATCTCACAGCTTTTCTTTTACCATTACTTAAATGGTAGGGTGCTCTAGTAAAATCCGTGAACCTTTTCTTTACTTGAGGGGTAAGTGTGTTATAAAGTTTTACATTCCTTCTCTATAAAAAAGGCACAAGCCAAGTTCTAGAGTTGCAAGAATTCTTCCAATCCAGTCACCATGGTTGGATTATGCAAACTCTAATATTTAACAGGTACAGTTTTCAGTATGACTCTCTAGACAGAAACACAGAAATTCAGCAGGCACCTCATGGTTTTACTTCCAGAGCAGCTGCACTCAATATGTGACAATTCCAGCTCTTCTTAAGCTCATTGATTTTAATGTTATTTGGGATTCTTTGGAGGGTGATATAAACTGAATAACTCAGAAACAGAAAATCTGAATACGAACCTCATTGTCAACAAGTTTTGAAATATAAGAATTTTCACCCGTAAAAAAAGAATAGATTAATCCAAGAGAACCACACACGAATTATACCTGAAAAGGGCATGGTACTAGAGTCCCAAAGAGATCTTCGGTGAGATCTGCGGCTCTAATGGAATACAGGGAATTTTTAAGCCCACAGGAGAGAAGATATTCTTCTGTGTCCTTAGGCATGGAGTAGCCTTTGTACACACTAACAGGAGGATCACATATCTGCCAGAAACAGAAGAGGGAGAAAAAACAACTCATATATCAGTGCGAATCAGCAAACTTCAATCTGTGAGCGTCTCTCTTTTTTATTCTATATTCATATTTATTTTTATTTTATTTGTTAAAACAGAATGTCGTGATATCTGCTAAAGTCACTGGATTTGATCCCCTATAATATGGGTAAGAAGTCCAAGAATCCACTGGGAAGTCATCTCACAAGCATCATCCAATGACTATAGAAGTCCTATCCGTTCGTACTACATGATCTCAACTATGCTACTTGACAATAAGTAGATGAAGTGGCAGAGAAATCAGAACAACATGGAGAGGCATGGTTGCAGAACAGAGAAGTGAGAAAAAGAAAAGAGAACTTTCTAATTGAAGGATAAACAATTAACTCAATTACTTCTTTCTTTGATCTCTCTGAATCTTCACAGACATTGTTTTACATTTACAATTACAGTGAGACAAAAGAATAACATATAGGAAACATAATTGCTTTCACTACTCTCCTCTAATTAGGGAATTCCTAAGCAATTGTAACTCGTTCAATGTGCTTACCTGAAGTTGTAATTAGTAAATAAGATCAATCTTATCAATACACAAGGTTCTGACTTTTTGACTGATTCTACCTACGTCAATTATAATCAAGAAAATGTACAAGTAAGTCAGTACATATTGGGTCAATAATTATCTGATGAATAGTATTGTTGTCTTTATATCTTCGCTAAGTATTAAAAGTCATCTACAAACAACAGAACGATTCAACAACAGATCAATAAATGAGAGAAATAACAGTAGTTACCGATGATCCGACTTGAGTCTGGCAATCACTCAAGTTTTTGTACACTCCAACCAGATCTCCTTTCCTAACAACAAAGAAACCATCTCTCTCTTCCTTCATTACTGGAGTAGAATCAGAATTCTGTGATTGAGAGCTATCTCCACTATGCTTTTTAGACGAATAGCAGCGAACACAAACTCTATTCAAATACGAGGCAGAATCAACGTATCTAATTCTAGCATGACCAAAGCTTCTCTTCCATGAAAGAGCTGGAAATCCACAGATTGAACTTTTCAGGACAAGATTGATAGTCTTTGTTAATGTTGCAGTAGAACATGCATGAAACAAGCTGTTCATTCCACGGGACTTCACTCAGGCTCCACCAGTTTCTGAAAAAGAAAAAGAAAAAAGAATAGATTGTAACTTTGTTAATTCAACTAATACATATACGTATGCATACGAACAAAGGAAAATATACTTATTTTTCATCTACTGTTTCCTTCGTTCCACTTCCAAAAACACAACATGACCAAGTGAAAAGCGTGCACTTAAGAACTCCAATTCAGTGGAATTCTAATATAAATTCCATTAAGTTCAGAGTCTAACGGATAATACCTATTTTATATGCATTTTCTGCTTCTTTTGTTTATTGAAAGACATAAAATGAGAAGCTTTTTCCTTTGGAGTATGATTTTAACTTTTTTCTTTTATGCCATTTACTAGAAACTAAAGAGCAGCACCGCAGAGTTTACTGTTTGAATTACACAAATTAGGCAGGATTCTTACAGACATCAGTCTGATTCAGCTGCAAAGATAATGAACAGTTGCAAGATTACAAGCTGCAATTCCAAAAAAAATGGAGGAAATCAAGAGAAAGAACACCTGTAAAGGTAAATCACAGAAAATCTAAGTCGAAAAATATAAATGAAAAGAAAGAATTTTCTTTAGCTCATCAAATACATGTGTGTGTGCGTGTGTGATATTTCCCCTGAGCACTAAATTACTCACTTTCTGTTTCTTTTATAGTCCAAATACAAACAAAAAAATACAAAGTAAATTACTATATTACTACTTAGTATTTTCCACTTAAAAAAATTAATAATTATTTTCCTTTACGCCTTTATTACATAACAACACATATCACAGACAGCTTAATGGTTGAATTTACAAGAACATTATGGAGGATTTTTCTTCCCTCGGCCCCAAAAATCAAACTTTGAGTCAATATCCTAAAAAATATGTCAGCAAACAACTGAACACTCAGCTGAAAGGGGGTTAAAACAGTGTGAAGAATATAACTTTCAAATTCCATAAAAGTAGAAAATTTAAGAGAAACTGTAAAGGGTATTCACAAATTCAAAAAAGAATTAATCTAACGAAATTAGAACCCTAATTTTGGGGAGAAATAAAACGGGGTCATCAAATCAAAGGTTTTTAACAAACAGAGAAAACATACCCCTCAATTACTGGNCGTTAACCGGTCGGGTTTTGTCAATTGTTTCTCCGGTCTGATTCCGGTTCAATGTTTTCATTTTCTTTTATCCTTTTGAAATACCACCAATGGAATTTCACTAATCCATTCATATTTTATTTTTGTACGACTTTTGTAATGACCCGACCGGTTGTTTTGAGTATTGTAGTCTGATTCTCCCATTTATTGCTTATTCCATATTCATTTGTTGTTATGTGACTGTCGGGGTGGTTGGTTCGGTTTCGGGGATGTTTCGGAAAAAAATTGGGACACTTAGTCCCAAAGTTGGAAGCTTAAGTTGAAAGAGTTGACCGGATGCTGACTTATGTGTAAACGACTCCGGAATGGAGTTTTGATGGTTCCGATAGCTTCGCATGGTGATTTTGAATTTAGGAGTATGCCCGGATATTGATTTGGAGGTCAGTATGTCGTTTTGGCTTGAATTGGCGAAAGTTGAAGGTTTGGAAAGTTGAAAAGTTTGAACGAGAGTTGACTTTGTTGATACCAGGCTCGGATTTTAGTCCCTAAAGTTGAAATAGGTTCGTTGTGTCATTTATGACTTGTGTGCAAAATTTAAGGTCAGTCGGAGTTGGTTTGGTGTGTTTCAGTATTGGTTTTAGAAGTTGGAAGTTCAATAGTTCATTAGGGCTGAATTGGGGTGCGATTCATATTTTCGATGTTGTTTGATATGATTTGAGGTTTCGACTAAGTTTGTATGATGTTTTAGGATGTGTTGGTATGTGTGGATCGGGACCCGGGGCCTCGGGTGAGATTCAGATTTAGTTTTAGCCTTTTGGAACCACTGATCTGGTGTTTGGTGCAGCCTTCATCGCGTTCCCGATGAATAGATTGCGTTCGCGTAGAGTTGCTCAGGGGCAGGAGGATTTCATTCTTCGCGCTCGCGAATAAGGCCACATGTTCGCGAAGGTCTGGTGGGTCTGTGCATCGCGATCGCGAGAGGGGACTCGCGTTCGCGTAGAAGGATTTTTACAATGCGGTCACGAGCACGATGGATTTTTACTGCGTAGAAAGTTACAATGCGGTCGCGAGCACTATTTCGAGGTCCGCTAAAGAAAGATTTAGAGAGATGGATTTTTGGGCTAAAACATAAATGCGGACCGCGTCAGAAAGGTGCGGCTGCGAAAGTACCTGCGCGGCCGTGATTGGAATTACGTGGACCGCGATTGCTTAGGTTCAGAGAGCTTACATTTTAAGAAAAAAATAAGAAGTGCGGTCCGCGTCAAGATTATGCGGCCGTGAAAGTCTCTTACGCGACTGCGATGGAAATTACGTGGTCCGCGAAACCATGCTCAACCCAGATCCAAAAGTGAAGAACGCGGACCGCAATCAGAATTACGCGGCCGCTAAAGCAAGAGTGCGGCCGCAGTCAAAATTACGCGCCTGCGTAATCTCCATAGGTGTATTTTTGTCCGGAAATTTTAGCTTAATATAAATAGAACTTTTTGTCATTTTTAGGTTATGTAGGGTATTTGCTAAGCACGTGAGACGGCTGAAACTCCCCTTTGGGGCAATTTTATATTAGATTCACCTTATAACATTAGATTTTTATCTTTTAATCTAGTATTATGAATTTTATCTTCTTTTCATTTTTATTTTATGTTATTTCCATGAGTAGCTAAAACCATAGATAGGGTTGTGACCCAACCCTAGTGTGGGTATTTAATGGGTATTTGATTTTAGGGCTTGAATGTGGATGTGTTAGTGATATTTAGCCTAGTTCTTGCTAGAACTCAAGAATTAATGGTTGCAAACATTGATTTATGCCTTTACGACTTAGTCTCTACTTGAGAAAGAGGGACTATGTCTAGGAAAACTAGGCTAACAAGGAATTGGGGTGAACCCAAGAAATTGATAGCCCCAATTAAAGGGTTAAACCTAGAGATAGTAATATCCAACTTGAATTAATATCACTTGATTTGCAAGAATACCCATTTAGACTTGAGAAAGTCAAATAGGGTAAAATCACTCAAATTACCGATAGGTATAGAGTGAGTACCCGGGTGTGATAGCTATATCATAATCCCAACTAATCAAGCTTTCCCTGAATTTTGCTACCCGTTAAATATCCACCTAGGCAGAAGTCACTACCATAGTCTCTTTAAACATTTGAAAAATAACAACAAAAATATTATCGTTAGTTTCAATTATTGCAATCTTTAGAGTAAAGTTAGAAATAGAAACACCAATCAAGTTTGTGGAAGTGTAATTAAATCCAAAACTTGCATTTAACTTAGATATACACCTAATCCCATATTCTAACTCCCTATGGATTCGATCCCGACTTTTGTTGGGTTTATTATTGCATCGACTGCCTTGCTACTCAATTGTGGTGTAGGGTTGGCACAGATCAATTTTTGGCGCCGTTGCCGGGGAATTAAATGGATTTATCTATATATCTAGTTATTTGTATGTTTTGTCTTTCTTTCCTTCCGAGTCACTAATTTTGTTTGTGAATTGCTTTCAGGTACAAAATGGCCCTTAACAACGAGCCCCTCAGAAATTTACCATTGGGGGATGAGGTAGATGGCGATCAAGTGGATGAAGTTCATCCCGAGCCTCAAGTAAACAGGCGAGGCCGACAACCTCCACCAAGAGCAATGCACCGGGGGTTGTCGAATGCGGGCTATGCAAGTGCAATAGTCCCGTCCCAGATTAGAGCGGGCAACTCGACAACGAAGTTGGCCTTCAAGATGAGAACAACAACTTAACCCCCGGGGGTGGAAGGCCACTCGTCGATCCTGTTAGAACTCAGGTCGAAGATCCAATAGACGTCAATTCATATACGGTCATCTAGGCAAATCAACGTTCTGACCCTGAAAATAGCATTCATGATGGAACTCGGTCTGCAGCTCGAAATACCCAAAATGCTGAGGAAAACATAATTAATTTGCGTATGATCTTCGAGATGTTGCAAGCTCAACAAGTAGCAATAGCCCAGTTGCAGAGCCAAACCTAGGCACCGACCAGACTCGAGCCCAGTCCACCCCAAGAAGTCACCCACAAAACAGGGCCAGCTATAGTAAGGTCAAATGAGCAAGAATCGAGGACTAATCCCGAAATTGTTAAGATGCTCGAAGAACTGACAACAACGAATAGAGTCAGGAGGAAGGAGGATCTAGGCAAATGACAAAAAAGTGGAAACGTATAACTCTAGGGTTGATCAGATCCCGGGAGCACCACCGATATTGAAGGGCTTAGATTCCAAAAAAATCATACAAAAGCCTTTCTCCCCGAGCGCGGCTCCTAAACTAATCCCAAAGGAGTTTCGCATGCCCGAGATTCCTAAATATAACAGAACGACTGAATCTGTATTATTGAAAACAACTTGTTACACATGTGCCATCAAAGGGAACGATCTAGAGGACGATGAGATCGAATCTGTATTATTGAAAAAATTCGGTGAAACCCTGTCAAAGGGAGCAATGATATGGTATCATAATTTACCGTCTAACTCTATCGATTCTTTCGATATACTTGCAGATTTTTTCGTAAAAGCACATGCTGGGGCCATAAAGGTCGAGACCAGGAAGTCAGACCTATTCAAGGTAAGACAAAAGGATAACGAGATGCTAAGAGAATTCGTATCTCATTTCCAAATGGAACGAATGGATCTACCACCAGTCACAGATGATTGGACTGTTCAAGCTTTCACTCATGGTCTAAACGAACGAAGCTCGATGGCTTCACGATAGCTGAAGCATAACTTGATCGAGTACCCAGCTATTACTTGGGCCGATGTGCATAATCGGTATCAATCCAAAATAAGAGTCGAAGACGACCAGTTGGGTTCTGGGTCCGATATTAAAAGGGATATCGACCGAGAACCAAGGGCAAACAAGGATCGATATCGTCTGTATAACGGAGATCGTAGGGGTAGCGAACCTTCACGCAACCCCATGCAAGGTGAAAAGAGAAACGATCGAGGCCAAGGATCTTAGGGGCTGATGAACAGGAATAGGTTCGACAGGCATACCAGACCAAAAGAAGCACCTCGGTTGTCGGAGTATAACTTCACGATGCATCCACTATCGTACCGTCTATCAGACTCATCAAAGATACTAAATGGCCTCGACTTATGCAAACCGACCATGCCCAGAGGAATCCCAATCAAATGTGTGAATATCATGGCACTCATGGCCACAGAATGGAGGATTGCAAGCAACTAAGAGAGGAGGTAGTCCAGTTATTTAATAAAGGGCACCTTCGAGAATGTTTAAGTGACCGGGCCAAAAATCATTTCAAAATTAGGGATTTCAATAGACAAAACGAACAAGAAGAGCCGCAACACATCATCCACACGATCATGGGTGGAATTGATACCCCAGGGGACGGTGCTTAAACGCACTAAGATGTCGATTGTAAGAGAAAAGCGGTCCTGAACTTAGGATTACACCCCTGAAGATAACTTGTCCTTTAATAACGAAGACGAGGAAGGAATCATGCAACCACATAACGATGCACTGGTAATATCCGTACTTATGAATAAAACTCAAGTTAAATATGTGTTAATTGATCCAGGTAGTTCGACCAACATCATTCGATCGAGGGTCGTAGAGCAACTCGGTCTACAGGACCAGGTCGTGCCCGCAACCATGGTACTAAACGGATTCAATATTGCATGTGAAACTACTAAAAGCGAAATAATACTTCTAGTTAATGTGGCCGGAGCCGTCCAAGAAACGAAGTTCCACGTAATCGAAGGTGATATGAGGTACATCGCCCTTTTCGGAAGGCCGTGGATACACAATATGAGGGTTGTACCCTCAACCCTCCACCAGGTTTTGAAGTTCCCAAACATCGGAGGGAATCAAAACGGTCTACGGGGAGCAACTGGTCACGAAAGAAATATTTGTCGTCGATGAAGTGACTCCGATATCATCATTATCATTAGCAAAATGATCGGATTCGAAGAAGGAATGGAATACCAAATAGCAATCACAAACGTCAGCTTCGACCCAATTAGAGGATCAGAAGACTG